GTGAACGATTACATTTGTATTGTTACGTAATTTGAATTTTCTAGGTTTCCACATGTCTATAAATTTAACCAACGCGACGCGCCAAAAGGGAGAGCATCTATTATTAGTTCGTTATAGTCAGTGTGCAATAAACTTTGGAAACTATAGCTGTGATTATTATAATGCTTATCAATAGGAAAACTTCAGATATTTGACCAGGAACCTTTACAAAGTTCGAACATTACAAATCATTTAACTTCAGTAGACTCTCATCGGACATTAGTATTTTTAAGAAAATATTATATAAATTCATTGTGGAAAACTCGACGTGTGAAGCCGATAAATAACGAAGGACAAAGCTAGCTAGCTTCCCGTTAAGTAAATTATACCTACGTCATCTCGCTCATCGTGAACCCTCGATAAGATATCAAAGAAGCTCCAAACTAAAAGGAAGACTTTATATTACTTGTAATTTTGTGAAACTTTTGTATATAAATCATTGTTTGTAATAACTATTTGTAATAACTGTTATTGTAAATTGTATTATTGTTTGTATATTAAAATATATTTGTATAAAAGAAAACTGTGTGTATCAATCTTGTTGGCAAATATCGTAAACTGATTATATATTGGCTTTTATTTAACAGCTAAATCCAAAGTACAATTTAACTACTAAATATAAATTATCAGTTAACTCAATTTCAGACCATTTGAACTTCTAATGCGTAACAATCCTAAAAACGAAATTAAAATGATTTAAAAAATAATAATAATAAAATTTTAAACCAAACTTTTTCATTCATATATTTATCAAGCTTTTTCTTAAACTCACTTAAATTTACTGCCTCTACAATATCTGAAGGCAACCCATTCCAAAGGCCCACCATCCTGTTAGAAAAATAAAACTGTCTTAGTTGAAGATGACTCCTACCTTGCCAAAATTTACATTTGTGTCCCCCAGTCCTACTATTCTCATTGTTAAATATAAAAAATATGATACATCAACACTACCTATTCCCTTTACAATCTTAAACAGACTAGATTCCCCTAACTCTTCTTTTTTTCAAGAGAAAACAATTTAAGAGATTTCAGCCTCTCATCATATAACAACCCCTTCATCCCAGGCACCATTCTAATAACCCTCCTCTGAACCTTTTCACAACAATTCAATGTCCTTCCTAAGGTAAGGAGCCCAAGACAGAACACAATATTCGAAATGTGGCCTAACCAGTGACCTGTACAATGAAAGTATAACCTATAGGCTTGTATTCAATATTTCTGTAGATACAACCTAAGATCCTATTTGCTCTACCACTAGCAACAGCACACTGCTTGGTTGGCTTTAGAGACTGATCGACTGTTACACCAAGATCCCTTTCCTTCATAACACTATTAAGGTTATTATCATCAAAACTGTACTTATAATTCAAATTATGATAACCAAATGCATTATCTTGCATTTATTATAATTAAAACCCATCTGCCACTTATTTT